TCTAAAAAGAACAAACTGAAAGAAACACCAGTATCAACAACAAGCTCAACAATTGCCCATCAACCAAACACCCAACTTATCATTTATACAACAACCGATAGAAAGAGAATTAACACCCAATCAGATAGCCTGATTAGCAGACCAATTAAAGGCCAACCGAGCTATAAACCAAACTACTAAAGGCAACAAAAGACCAAACAGACCTCGTGTCATAGGAACAGGATAACCTCTACCAGTATTAACTAAACCAAATAGAAAGTACCAATATCAAACTGAAACAGAAGCAGATTATTTATCATTCGATGAATGGTATCAATACCAAACTAACTTATAAACATATGTGATAATCAATAATAAGGAAATACAAGAACAATCATTAAAAACCTACCAATATTAGAATAGTCAGAAACAATCTTAAAATAATATAAGCTTCAACATGAAATGCGAATCTGTTAGAAAAACAATAATATATCAAAATTGGAATATATACTATGATCAACAATACTACAACCAATTGTGATCAAGAAAATCAAACACAATTATACCTTATATTTACTATAATAGTATTATCTATACTGTACATCTTGACGATTGTACTCAGCTATTGTATATGCCAAAGATATAAAAAAAAATCCACAAGAACCACCCAAATGTTGAATATTACGCTCAACAACAAGAATCAACTTGCAATATACTATAAACACATGTTACAATCATCAGCAGATATACATATCCTAATTATTACCATAATCGTTATAATACTTATATTAGCCTTAATAGGAATTATTGGAATTCATACACAGAAGCAAAAAAGAAAACGCAATCAAGAACCAATAGATTATAATACAGATGTCTTCTCTTTAATTAATGTTCTTATTCAAAAGAAAAAAGAAAAAGAAGACTACCTATCTCGACCAAAATATATATACTAATCAAATAAAAGAACATACCAAATTTTTAAATAATCCTGACCAATGTCAACAAACAAACTATGTACACCCATCAGTAGAACAACAAGATATAGAAGCAAGATACCGAAGACCAAAGCAATGATTTAACCAAGCATTCAAACTATTTGGAGATGGTATACCACAACAACAATATTACACAACACAAGAAAGGCACTTAGAATACTTTTAGAATTATTCAATACCCAACTTACCATACATACCATTTGTGCTCAAAAGAACTAAAAATAACTCACCATACATTTAAATGCAAGAGTGCCAACAAGTACAATTCTCGACCATAATTATACCAACACCAACAGTATTTCAAACAATAGTACAAACAGCTATTCAAGCTATACAACCAACAGTATCAATACCTACTATAATCTTAACTATAGTAACTACCGAAGCACTAGAATACTTTCAAGACCAAAATATAATTACTGAAAATATTGTAATTATAACTATCATAATATTCTCAACACTATTATATGTATTTATCAAGTG